GAACTGATGCAGAGGCCCTAGAGGGGTGCTGCTGCTTACTGGCATGCTCCTTGTGGCTTGCTCAGCTTCCTTCCTCCCTTCCTCCCTTCCTTCCTTCCTTCCTTCCTCCCTCCCTCCCTCCCTCCCTTCCTCCCTTCCTCCCTCCCTCCCTCCCTCCCTCCCCCTCTCTCTCTCTCTTTCTTGTTTCTCTCTCTCTCCCTCCCTCCCTCCCTCCCTCCCTCCCTCCCTCTCTCCCTCTCTCCCTCTCTCCCTTCCTCCTCCCTCATTTTGTTTTGTTTTTCAAGACAGGATTTCTCTGTGTAGCTTCAGAGCCTGTCCTGGAACTCACTCTGTAGACCAGGCTGGCCTTAGACACACAGAGATCTGCCTGTCTCTACCTCCCAAGTGCTGGAATTAGAGGTGTGCGCCACCACTGCCCTCTTATTCCAACCAGGATCACCTGGCCAGAGATGGCACTGCCCACAGTGAACTGAATCCTCCCACATCAATCATTAGTCAAGAAAATGCCCTACAGGCCAATCCTATGGAGGTATATTCTCAATTAAGATTCCTTTTTCTAAGAAGACATGACCTTGTATCAAGTTAACATAAAAACTAGCCAGCAAAATTGACCCCTTGTCAACTTGACACACAGACACATCACTTATTAAGCTATAATCCTTCCTTTCTTGTTGCCCCCAGGATATTATATTAATATTACAATATAAAATATTCCAACTTTTAAAAGCCCCACAGTCTTTAAAAATTCAAACATGGTAAAAGTTGTCTTTCTAAAATACCCAGTGTCTCTCCAAAATATCAAAATCTCTGTAAAATCCTAAAGTCTCTTAACCATGAGCTCCTGTAAAATCAAAACACAAGTTAAATATAGAGGGAAGAACCAGGACACCGTTATATATCAATGCAAACCAAAGTTCAATAGCATAACAAGTTCAGTATTTGACATCTGGGAGCCACTCATGAGCCTCTAGGCTCCAAAAGACCTTGGGACAGCTCCATTTCTCCAGTTCTGACACTCATGGAACACACAGCTGGACTCCTAGGCTCAGGCTGGCTATACCCACAGCTGCTACTGTCCTTGATAGTTGTCCCATGGTACTGATACCTCCAAAATGTTGGGGTCTTCTGCTGCACTTGGGCAGTACCTTTATTAATAGTCTCTCCTGGCTCTCTTCAGGGACTGTGACCCTACTACATGATGCCAAGCCTCAACTGCTTTCCATGAATCCCTTCAATCCTGGGATGTCTACTAAGCTGAGGCCATACCTTCACCAAAGGCCTCTTGCTACCCTCTCCTAGTCCCAAACCTCAGCTACTCTCTTTGACCCCTTCATGCCTTCCAAACTAGGACCATCGGGGTGACTCTTACCCATTACCAAGTTTGGCTGCCAAATGAGATGTGGCTTCAGCCCTCTCTCGATCACAGCTTCTGTGTGCTGACCCTGAAGAGAAATATATATTCCCAGATATTATACAGTTCTTAATAATGCTAGTCTCTTGCTAATCACTGCTAATTTCTCAGCTCTATCTGGTTTTTGGTTTTTCAAGGCAGGGTTTCTCTGTGTAAAAGCCCTGGCTGTGCTGGAACTCACTTTGAAGACCAGGTTGGCCTCAGACTCACAGAGATCCACCTGCCTCTGCCTCCCAAGGACTGGGATTAAAGGCATGTGTACCGCAACACGGTTCTGGTTTCTTAATCACTGCCAATTCTTCAGCTCCAACTGACCAGAACAGTGGATTCTTTTTTGTTGTTTTGTTTTGTTTTGTTTTTCGAGACAGAGTTTCTCTGTGTAGTTTTGGTGCCTGGATCTCACTCTGTAGATCAGGCTGGCCTCGAACTCACAGAAATCCACCTGACTCTGCCTCCTGAGTGCTGGGATCAAAGGCATGCACCACCACTGCCCGGCTAGAACCGTGGATTCTTAATTCAAAGTACCCAAGAGTCCTGTTCAAGTCTTTAAGGCTATCAGACTTCCCTCTGAAACCGCACAATCCAGGCCTCCATCGTCTGCACTGCCCTCAGCAGGATCTTCCAGGTCCCACAACAGCTCAGTAAGCTCTGAGGACTCAATGGCTTTTCCAGCCCTAAGTTCTAAACAACTCCATAATCCTCCCCCAAAACAACACGGTCAGGTCAGTTACAGTAGTACCCTATTCATTTGTTAAGACAGCTATAGAAATACCCTAGAGCAGGAGGGTGGTCTGCAGGACAGAACCACAGTTTCTCACGGTTCTGAAGGTTGGAAGCTCAGATCATAGTGTCAGCAAACTCACTTTCTTTGAACAACCCTCTTCTTGGCATGGAGGTGGCCATCTTTCCCAGTGTCCTTTCTTGGCCTTTCATCTGTCTGGCCGCTTCTGTGGTGTCTTTTCCTTTTTTATAAGGATACTGGTCAGGTGTGATAAAGGTCCTGTGTGAGAGCTTCAGCATCTGAATTCTGGGGCATATGAATTCTGGAGTGCAAGTTTAAGCTATGGTAGTATATAACGAAGACCAAACTGAAGAGTTGGAGATGTGGATACATTTCCTAGATGGTAGATTCAGAAGTAGTTTTTAAAGTATTTTTTTCTTTTTTACATGTTTTCAGCGAATATGTGAAACCTTTTTATAGAAATGGGGGGGGCATTAATGTTTCTTTGTGTGTGTGTTTGTGCATGGGTTTGTATTGGGAGTGATGCTGTGCAGCTGTGTATGTGTGCATGTGGAGGCCGTATGTCAATGTGCATATCTGTGATAGCTTCTGTTATCTTATTTTTTGAGATAGGATCTCTCACTGAACCTTGAGCTCATCAGTTTAGCCTGCTTAGCTACCCAGTGAGCTCCAGGGATCCACCTCTTTCTACCCTAGCAGGTCACCACACCTAGCTTTTTCATGGATGCTGGAGATTGTGCTGAGCTCCTCGTGTTTGTGTCTGAAGCATTTTACCAACTGAATCATCTCCCAGCCCCAAACGAAACTATTTCCATGTTGCCCTCTTTAAAAGAGAGACATGGCTGAGTGGCAGACAGGGCCAGTGGCCCAGAGCTCTTAACTATATGGTCTGTTCAGTTGAGAATTGTCCTTTTTGTGGGTGAAGGAAAATGCTGGCCTGCAGTGTGGTGACTCACCTGATAATCCTGCAGAATGAACCGAGTACTGAAGAACCTGGTTGGAGGCTGTGAAATAGAACAGAGCAGCTACTGTGTGATTGAGTCTGCGGCTGAGTCTCGACAGTATGAGGCTGGGTGAAGAAAGACAGCGGATAGGGCCAGCACGGAGTTTTCCTAGCTTGATTGTGCTGATCTCACAGGCTGCTGCATATTTCAGAGCCCATTAAACTGTGCGTGTTCAGTGTGTGCCTGTGCTGTCTACTGTCTGTTAGGGAACATGTTGTAAATGGGAGGGAGGATTGGGAAGAAAAGATTCCCGGAGCCTTTGGGAACCAGGCGTCACACAGTTACTAACATGAGGCAGGCTATGCTTTTTTGGGTCACAGGAAACTTTAGGATTTGGAGGCTGTGGAAGCAATTGCTTGCTGCAGTAAATGTTGGGGAGGGGTCTCCACACCACTGGGTCCTTGCTGCTTCATAATGCTGTGCCACAGGGTGAGGGTGGGTCACTGATTTGTGGAAAATGAGGCAGTGGTATGAAAATGGGAGCCTGTTAGGTGAACCAGGCAGGGACACAGCAATCTTTTTGAATTTATTGGCTCATTAATATTGTGAAGATGGGTATGTTTCTTTTATAGCTGCATTAGATACTTATCTTTCTAAGGACAGGAATCGGTACAGTGCTACAAGAGAGAATGTACTTAAAAATCACAACATTACCTGTGGTAAAATTATCATAAAAACTACCTAGTGCTCAAGCGGGCCATGACTGCAGTTCTGCCCCCATAATGACAGGAAATGGTCGTCAGCGAAGTTGTTTTCCATGAAGCTGTGATGAAATCAACTAAAATGGTAATAAAGCAGAGTGTAAAAGTGAGGGACTCAAGTGAGATGTAAAAACGCAGAAGGTGTTAGAATGTTCACATTGGCATCTTCCAGAAATGAATCTGTAAAATAGCGAATATGAATTGATTGAGATTTTCATTCAGAAGTGTTATTTCTGCTGTGGGTCCCACAGTGCAGAGAGGTCAAATGCCTGTCCCCTAACCACAGCCCTGACCGAGGGGTGCTGCTTGGCTATAGTGATGGGTTTTGGTGGCAAGTGATAGTTAGAAAAGCTTGAAACCCCATTTCCTTCCTTCTGACTTGAATCAATCACCCTGGGCGCATCTTCATGTTCCCAGTGTTGCTCTGATGAATTCATGTTCAGTAGCTGCCTGTTACAGAAAAGAGGAGGTATCTTTCAGTAACACCTCAGTGAACCGTAGAAACAATAAAATACACACGATCAGAGATGTTCTCTACTAAAGGAGCAACGTTCATATTGATACTGTATTCAAAATAACAAGTCTGCCTCTTGTCACTGCTGCTGCCACCAAAAGGCGAGACGCCACCTCCTCTCTGCCGTAGTGTCAACTGTCTGGCCTCCCCATGTCCTCTCCAGTCCATCTCAGAGTTGGCCTCTCAGAAGGCATTTTGACTCAAATTATGGCTTTCTGTTGCCCGTGGGGTGAAGTTTAGCGTCCTCACCATGGTCCTCACTTTCTGGTGCCAGCATATTGGCCCCATCTGGTACAGGTCCTTGCCTGGCTTTCTAGGCTCAGGCCTGGCAGGACTTCTTCTCATGCAGAGACCACAAGACCTTTCCTCTTGCCGCTCTTCCAGGGGTACTTCTTTATACCCTTTCTTCATACCCTCACCTCACTGCCTTGCCCTTCTTCACTCAGGCAGTCTCTCATTAACATGAAGTTTCTATCTACTGTCCCTTCTCTAGAGAAGTCTTCCCTACCTCTCTTTCTCCTAGTCTATATTAAGTTTCTCTGGTTTCTTTTTTTTTTTTTAATAATCTTTTATTTACATACAATAATTAGTAAAAAAAAAAATTAAAACCAAATGTAACTTGTATAGAAAAAATATGGAATGCTTCATGAATTTGCATGTCATCCATGTGCAGAGCCGTGCTAATCAATCTGTGTATTGTTCCAGTTTTAGTACATGTACTGCTGGTGCAAGCACTGTATTAAGTAAGTTTCTTTGTTTGACATTCAGAGATCCGGAATGTTCCTCTTAGACTACCTATTTTCATTTGTAACTATAATTTCTTCACATTGTTTTCAATAGGAGGAACCAGTGGGGGAAGGGGAGAGGTGTGGCCTGCTCTAGTAGTGCCTGGATTCTTGACAAAGAGACAGAAAGGAAGGAGGGGAAGAAGGATGGATGGACAAATGGACAGACAAAATGACATATTTCATTCTGAGGACCAGCTCAACCAAATCCCGTTCCCACTCTGCCTTTGAATTTTTCTGTAACAAGGAAGACAGACTATGTTGAGTTTGGTGAATCTGTGACTAATGAGAACTGACTGCGTCAGTGAAGTCATAAAAAGATGCTCTCCCTAAGCCTTTCTGATCCAGAACAAAGGGGGACTTCTCCTGGAGCTTGGGGAGGCTTGTTTGGCTTCTAAATAAATCCAAAGTACAGAGTTGTGTTAATTGCAGACCTCAGATGATAACATGTGCTCCTGGGCCGTGCAAGGCCTTCTCTTTGACAGTTCCTCTTTGAGCCCTGCTCTTGACCCCTTCTCTGTATAACAGCGCTAGGTGTTTAGTTATTTCCTTAACATGTGCTTTTTTTTTTTACAGAATAAGGCTAATGGTTGGGGGGATGTTTTGATTTTCAGAGCTGTTCTCTGCTGTGAGTCATCTAGTTTTTGCTTCTCTCATCCCCTATGCTAAGGTCTGTACGTCACTGTGTCTTGGGATTCTCATGGCTGTGGTCTTGTGTTAGTGAATGTCTATATCCCCGGGTGCTGGACAGCTGCACTTTAGCATCTTGTCACCTCCTGAGAGTCCTGCAGGTCAGTGCGGTTGTCCTCCCCTCTTTGATGCACTCCAGAGGGCCCTTTGTGTCCCCAGCCTCCCTCCTCTGGGGGACCGTGTACAAGAGGGAGGTCCTTACGTAGAAAGCATCACAGACTCACCTTGCCCCATGCTTCCTGATGACCTTGCTGCCTGCCCATGCCAGTTCATATTCCCACCACCAGTACGTCAAATGTGGCTTTGCACCCGTGCCGGCCGTACAGCAGTGTGGCATCGTTTTGGTTGAAATTGATACCTTATTTCTAGTCAGTTTCTCATTACTGCTGCTGCCCCCACCCTAGTGCCAGCCACTGCTGTTCTCCTCATCATCCCTGTGTCTGTCCACTCAGCAGTGGCCCCTGACCCCTCTAGGCCATCTCACTGTTATGTCTGCAGCCAAGGTAATCTGTCTGGACCACTTCTTTGCTCAAAATCATTAAAAAAAATCACAGACAGACTTTCTCACCTTTCACCTGCTGAAGGAGAGACATCCTGATGATGCTTACACTTGTGTTTCTTGGACACATGTTGCCTCAACATGTAAGTTTTCAAAACAATATTGACTCACCTGACTAATATTTATTTTAGAATTTTTATATCTGTTTGCTTAAGTAAAATGGACTTATTCTTGACCATCTCTAGGCTGATTGGAAAGCAAAGTTATATTAAAATGCCTTGAATAGCTAGCCAGGTCATGGTGGCACACACGCACCTTTACTCCCAGCACTAGGGAGGCAGAGACAGGCGGAGACAGATCTCGCTCTGGTCTACAGAGCGAGATCCAGAACAGCAGGGCAACACAGAGAAACCCTGTCTCAAAACATAAAACAAACAAAAAAGCCTCAAGTTGCTTCCTCCTCTTTGCTTTGTCTGGACAATAAAATGCACATTTTCTAACTCTTAACCTAGGTGTCTTCAGCATTCCAGCTGTGAACTTGGTTTGCTGAGCTGCCTTCCTGCAGGTTTCTTAGCAGCACTTGACTAGGTAGGAATTAACATGCCTCTGAGACCCTGATGGTCCTGATGGAAGTTAAGCGACCATGGGCACAGAATGGTGTAATAGTGTGTGTTTCTTCAGTGCCACTGACAGCTGTCAGCAGCTGCATAGTGAGTTGGTGTCTATTGTCATCCAGTCTTCTTAGCCACAAAAATTGTGATATATACATTGTGTCTAATAGGACAGGGAGGAACCGGCCAGTTCCCTGGCCAGTCCTTCATAGAAACATGCTTCTGGGCTTTACTCCTTCTACATCCTTTCTGGATTCTTCCCTACTCCTGTATTTCTGATTTTTTTTTTTTTATCACTCCTGAAGGAAACTGAGTAATTTGAGCTTGAAAATAACAAGATTACCAGAGGGTGACTTTGGCAAGATTGGAATAATGGGCAGCCCAGGAAGAGGGTTTGGGCACTGAACATTTGCCAGATACTGAGACTTAGCTCCTGAAGGCAGGTGGCTTCACCAGCGCCCAGCTCATGACCTCAGTCTCTACACAGAGCAGCTGAGAGAGCTGGGCAGTGTATGCCCAGTCTGGTTGATTGAAGCTACTTCAGTCAGCATTGCATCGTTAGTCTCTGGACTCCGTCTCAGCTAGAACACAATCAGGATTCATGACATTGCTGTTCTGACGTCCCCCATTCTTCTGAGGACGTATTGCTTTAAACCATAACAGTAATTTTCATATCATGTTATTTTTATTTTTCAACTGGCTGAAGACACAGCGAATGCAGAGAATATTATTCTTCAGACAGAAACTGTCTGGCATGCACAGCCTACAGAATGGCAATTAAACTGAGCTCCAGACTGACAAACAAGCTGTAAAAGAGAAAGGCAGGATTTCTGTGGAAGATCAGTTATAATAATTTTATATCTGAGTGTTTTACATTTGTGACATTTTGTATAATAAACAATTAACTGCCTGCTTTTGACATTTCCAAGTTAATGTGAGGGAAGTTACACAACAGACACCGTTAGCATCACCTCCCCAAGTGAAGTGGGAAATGGCTATCAGCCTCCGGGTCTGTGAGCCCGGTTATCCTTCCCCACTGCACATCCTGAACCTCTCTGCCACCAGCCGGCAGTTCGTTGTCTTTGATAAACAAGATAATTGATATAAATGGAGGTGTTCTTCTCTAAAGTGGTTTCCCAATTGCAGGTTTTTCAGGCTGAAGGTATAATTTTCCTTGTGTCCCATTACTGTTAATCTCTAAATGGATAGATTAGTTAATCTGCCTGCCTTCCACGAGAAGACATTGGGTGAGTCACCCTCAACAAAGCCGACAAAACATTGGAGGAAACTAGAGCACAGGAAAAATGATGTACGGTCACATTGATGATCAAGAACATGGGGATTTTCAGCAGGAGGTTTAGAGCTGGGAAGGCAAGAACTATAGCGTAGAGATGAAGAAGAGGTGCATCTTCCTCAGGAGAAGGACAGAAGCCCTGTGGTCAGCCAGTTGTACCACGTGGTCACTGCTTGCTTGCTGCGTTGTTGGAATAGGCTAGGCTTTGCAGAGCTCACTTTATACCATCAATTAGTACTCGGCCTGCTTGGCCCTCTACTGTGTGGCTTTCTTAATGGAATGTCCAGGATCTAGCCTGCAGAAGAGCCATGCAAGTTTACACCCAGATCTGAAGTCTGCTCGGAAAAACCTGCCCCCCATGCGCGTGTGCGTGTGTGAGAGAGAGAGAGAGAGAGAGAGAGAGAGAGAGAGAGAGAGAGAGAGAGAGAGAGAGGAGGGGGGTGTATGTGTATATTAAGTGCAACAAGGAGGAATGAATGGGAAATCAAGTGGGTAACTGCTTGGGAGAGAGTTACATAGAGACTATCCACGACTCCCCAGGGGAATATTGGGCTACTTATCACTTAGACTCTTGATGGTTTGAAACCATAATAAGAAACCTTTGGAGTACCTTTGTAGCACGAATTGTCTTAATAAAAACAAACCCGGAGCCAAATATTGGGGTGAACACTGAAAGATCAGAGAAACAGAACCAGCCACAGCTAACCTCACCTCGCCAATTCCTCAGCTGATCTTGTTTCCTCAAACTGGAAGCCTCTGTGTTCTCATCCAAATGGATCTCAGCTGAACTACTGCTCAAAAGCCTAAAAGCTTAACCAGACTAAAAAGCCTCTAGTTCCTGGTCCTCACGCCTTATATACCTTTCTGCTTCCTGCCATCACTTCCTGGGATTAAAGGCCTGTGTCGCTATGCCTGGCTGTTTCCAGTGTGGCTTTGAACTCAGAAATCTGGATAGATCTCTGCCTCCGGAATGCTAGGATTAAAGGTGTGTGTGTCACCATTTTCTGGCCTCTAGTGGATGTTCTGTTCTCTGACCCCAGATAAGTTTATTAAGGTACACAATATATTGGGGAACACACTATCACCACATACCTTGATCATTCTAATATTTAGTTTAAAAACCAGTTTACACCCTGAGCAAGGAAAGCCCTAGTAAGATGAGCTGTCTCCCAGGCAGTCCTCTGTGGTGGGTTATCACACCACCTTTCAGATCCAGCACGCCAAGGGTGCTTTACTGTCCAGTTTAATGTCATCTCTTCACTGAGCTGTGGGCCTCCTCCCGCCTCCTTCCACTTTTGAAAGGTTAGCCTTTCTTCAGAACAGTACAGGTTTCCTGCAACATCTGTCAACTTGGCAACGAGCACACCCCAAGGAAATGATGAACATTTGAAGACCATCTAAATACTGCAGGGGACCTTTCCTTTCCTCTCCCTCTCCTCCTCTCTTCTCCCTCCTGTCTTCTCCTAAGAGTGGGACAGCCACCTGGCATTTTTCACTCGTGGTCGTGCTGATAAATTGTAAGCCCACTTACAGCTGTGACTTTTTTTAATGAGTTTTGATTTTCTCCTTGCACTATGATAGCCCTTGCAACCTTCCGGCGGAACTGGCCTGGAAGGAGCTGTGGGCAGAAGCTTTTGTTTAACCAAGGAGGCTGCTTGGCCCTGGACCGTTAGCACAAAGGTTTCTTTGCTCTAATGACTCAGATGATCTTGATCTGATTCAGTAGGTCAGAAATTGCTGTCCCCAGCAAATATCGACCAGAAGGAACTGCTTTCTCGGTTATTCTGAAACTGCCAGCTGCATATTACACTAGCAGGTGCTAATAGTTTTTTGCAGGTCAGTAGAATTGTTATTGG